CGTGTAATTGCCATATAAGGGCGATAAGGCGATGAACTGGGTGAAACGAACGGTGGACAAAACGATAAGAGACAGCATTAAGCATCAATTTTTTGCATCTACCGCCACGTATTTTCCACCTAAAAGACCGACTGGACCGTTATGCCGCTTTCCTTTGCATCCACTGGTGGACTTGCTCTGATGAACCGAGCCATATAGGAGGAACAGCAATACAACGAACGAAGAGAATAAGGGAACACACTCGTGTTATTATGACAGGGAGAATGAGGAAAGTGGCAGTTGCAATATGCCATCGCCTGCTAGAACGGATCACAAAGTGAACGTTAGTTAAGCAATTGAAATCGTTTATTGTATTACCCTGTTATTATCCAAACCAATACAACTTATCCTGTGGTGTGCGGCCGAAGTAATCGGAATCAGACTGCTTGACCTCTCCTCTCCTCCCCTTCCCTATCCCACTGTGTGTGTGTCTGTGTGTGTGTGTGTGTGGTAGCATATCAATTTTGCACTCGATTTCAGTGTGGTGACTGGAACAGCGTTGGGACTAGGGAGGAGACTCATTCCCAAATGTTGACTCATGTAGAATCCCAATGCACACAGTATGATAACCTCCGCCTTAGACTAATTTAACGAACGTTCAATGCTTTACCCATATTATTTTAAATGGTCATTTGATGGATTATCAAAAGACCGTTTGTTACGTCTACCGGACGTGGCTCTCAATATCGTAATGAGTTTTCTCCATTATTTCTGCATATCGAAATAAAAACCAACAACAGCAATAATAAAATACTGTACACGTCGTGATATAATGAATCAGAGCATACTAACAATATGGACCAGTCTTCGGGAACCATCTAACGCGTGCGTTAGTCCATGTTCGTTAAAAATGTCATCAGGTCTCAGCCAAACACCGACACCTACAAAAGAAGTCACGTGGTCCGGGACGGGGCGATAAAAACTGCTAGGGTTGGTTATAAATCTTGTGTAATGATAATATACGGTACGCTGCTGAAAACACACACAAAGAGAGAAAGAGTTATCTTTCACATGTGAGGACGAACCTTGATCATCGATGAGAATATTTTCCGGCTTCAGGTCCCGATAGACGATTCGCTTCGAGTGCAAATGTTCCAATCCAAGAGCGATTTCAGCCGCGTAGAACCGACTCCGGTTCTCACCCAAACCGGTTGCATAATTCATGTTGTGAATGTGAAATTTCAAATCGCCCCCGTTCATGATTGTCAGTACCAAGCACAGTGCATCTTTCGTCTCAAACGTGTACGCCAGATTAACCTGTGCAACAGGACGGGTGAGATTATACATAGAGGAGAAAATTGGGTGTAGCATGATTTGCCTTCAAACCCATATAGAAATAAAGAGGGAAAAACAAAGTGATAAACAGTTGGACGACCTTTCATTCGATGGCAAACTGACTGTACTCCTTTTGGGTGGTTACATTCTGTCAACTTCCCAAAGCACTTTTATCCAATACGGTGTGAAGTGACGACCAAACTGCAGAAATAGGGTACACGCTTCTATGGGCTTGGTTTTAGTCTCACATGGTCGCCATTACGATTGATTGATCAGCCAGCCAGCTTAAGTGCAATGATTTATTCCTTACTCTTTCGGTCCTAACGCTCTTTACCGAGAGGAATTCTGTGGAAACGATATTAATCTTTAAGTGTGGGAGCCATTATGACTGGATTTTAACACGAAAACCGGGATAGTATAATGCAACGTTTGGGTTGCAAGATTTGGACCATCGAACTTCGAGACATTGTATTGCCTGAAAAGTATATGGGGTTGGGGTTCGTTAATGGATTATCGCAATTTGAAATAACTGAGGATCAGCGTGAACCATCGGCATTTTTGCGTCGCATATCGACTGTAGCTTCAGATGTTCATAAACGCCTGAACACACAACCTCCGAAGCGAAGTGACAGTGGCCAACAACGCCTGAGCAAGTCCTGATTTCTTCTTCAATTTACATTATATTACCCCACAGAAAGAGACTGCTCGCGCACTCACTATTTTTTTGTTCTTGTCATGAGATACCGTCCTTGGAGGTGATCCGGATTCCAAACTCTTCGAATATGTCTTCGCTCAAACTATGAAAACCGTAAGCTAAACAAATCGTCAAGCAAGCTTAACTACACCTTTCTGACGATTCACAAAGGGGAGTTCGCTAAAAACCATGATACCAAAAGCAACCAAAAGGAAACATGCGAACCACATATACATATACCCTCCAGGTTGTGGCAGTGTTCATCGACTAGATTGGGTATCGAAGAATCTGGGATAACTTGGACGTTTAATCTCGTCCAAAGGATCTGTGATCCGATATACTGGATACTGACCCCCAATATATGGCGGTTTCTACACACCACCCCGCTGCCTTTTGGGTTACGCTTGAGCTAACCGAAGGCTCCGACCGTGAAGTCCTCAATAAAATTTACCTGTTTTGGCCCGGATAACCTGGCAGTATTCCACTCACAAGCGGATCATGAAACTTTTTTACAAAGATTATTGCATCGTAGTTTTCTGATAGCTTGAATCCAGACAATATTAATGATAATAATAACAATACACCTATTTACCTTGGCGTATTTTAGAGTTGCACTCAAGATTAAGTAGTACATGCTCTGTCTTCATTAAAAGTTCCGTATTGAACATACTAAATGAGAACACGATGGGAACGAGGAGAATGATTGGTATTGTTGTTTGAAACTTTTCAATCCGGGTTGTCGTGGTTGCACTCATACTGAAGTATCAATCCTGTTATCACCAGCATAGTTTGGCCATAGACACTTGCGCGGCCCACCTTAATGGGGTTTTATCGTAGCTACCACTTGAGGTTTTATGGCTTATGTTGCCAGTTCCAGTAACCAGGCGGTAGGCCAACACGTAAACAGTTAAGGTTTTGAGGGGAAAACGCATCTGGACGGGGGGAGTTTTGCTTTGAATACCTCGGGGTGGTCACCCTATGCACACAAAAGAACAGCCGTTAAAATAGACCAAATAATCGAAGCCAGAAGAAGCACATGAGACAGGATGTGTCCAAAACCACAAGAAAAAACAAAACACCCAAACATGGTTTCGTTAACGCACTTCACATCAGAATTTCCATTCACAATAGACCACCGGTTGCTTCCACCCGACATCAGTCCTCCCCTTCTTTGTTCTGTGATATTTATTAAAGTGTGTATACACGAATTTGGCTTGGCAACAAGCAGAAATAAAAACTGCATGGCGGTATGGTCGTCAAATGAAACACATGACGCTAGCTGTAAATTCTAAAAAGCAATACACTACTCGGGCAGTGTGTTCAGATCATAAAAACCAGAGTACGCCGTACTTCGCTCGACCGACTAAACAACAACCGCATACTTTTGTGTCACACTGAAACTAGTGTCAGAAATCATTTCCAGTGACGAAAGAGACTCTCCGCCTTTTGCAGCGGCCATGAGACGAGCTTCGTTTCAAAAAACGAAGACGCATCAAAGGCACATGCATAAAATATGTTTGATGATGCCGCCAATCAGGCTTCGTCAGTTCACTGAAAATCAGACAAGCTGTGTCCCGTAGATCGGCGGTGTAATACCGACGAGAAATTCAACGATGAGAGAGAAAAAATGAATGTCCTGTTCCCTTGTGTGCATACGTCAAGAAAAACGTGAACAAAAACAAACAAAGACAGAAGCTTCTATTATAAAAACTGTCAGAATAGTATGCAGATTTCAAATTGCGGAGGACACGATTGAGTGGAGCGAGACAGATGAAGACGACGACAGTGGTCATTCGAAAGAGCGTGGAATTACAAAATAGGAGATTGGCGGGGAAGCGATTGAGAGTAACAGTCAATACATGGTTCATGCAGACAAGGTCCGAAAGCAGACAAAACGGTAAAGGGTAGCTATTTCGTCTTGACTTCGAACAAATCACAATATGTATTCATGGTATTTAACTGATATGTAAGATGCAGACCCAGTGCGAACGTGTGATGAGAACTTGGTCCAATGTAACACTAGTTGCAAGTGAACAGTTACATTACAGGGTTAAAATCTTGAGGGACAGGCTTTACATGTTTCTCACTTGTCTTGAGGTTTTCGTACGTCACGCTACAAAAACGAGCTTTGAGATGTTGTGAACCATGATATCCGCGCACCAAAATACTCGTGATGCGCCAAGAGCGATCAAATAAATTGTATTCCTTCTCATCTTGCAAAAAATCGTGTTTAACTTGCTTTAGGGTAATATTCTTCTGAATGCGGGATAAGTGGAGCCATCAATGAGGAACCTTAAGGTTGTGGAATAGGCTGGTATCCCCACTACAGCTTGATCTTTTTGCTTGGGAATGCATCTCTAACCCCTGTACAGCTGAGTGGGTAGGGTAACAGGGTAACAAAGATGATCTTATCTGGCGGAGGACCTAGTTCACACAGGGCGAGATTCTTTCCACAGACATATGAGGTTTTGTTGCAGAGGGTTCGCTGGCCGGACAAAACTCGCCACGTTCCAGGGGATCGCGGCTAATCGTCCAGAACCAGTTATTGAGTGAAACAATACCCACCTATTTTAGGTTAACAACTTAGGTGGTCATTCTGATATACTCTATGTGACCTGGAGATGGGCCCGGTAGAGTAGTTTTTACATCACTGACCGAATACAATTACTGACCGGTTGTTAGAAGCTAGTTGATTGAGCCACTCAGTAACTAAAATGCAAACAGAGGCAAAAACAATGCACGTAGGCTAAAGGGTTGAGTGAAGGCCACATAATCACTGTAGTTCACCAGATAATCAGCTGATTCACGCTACCCATTTTCACAGAATCAACCATCCTATTTGCAAGCAGGCAATAACCCGACAAGGGGGAAATTTCAGTACTGGCCGATTGTGATGCACTAAAATATTTTCTTTATGATCAAAGGGAGTTTCATTATATTTATCACCTTCGATTAGACCTGTAATTACCGAACGAGAAAACAGGTTGGAAGTGTCGTGTTTGTTATTCGTACTGTTTTCGTATGCTGTTACTCACGTCGTTCTTTTTATTTTTCAGCCCATGTACTGATATTAATAGACGAGTAAAGCGTATCGTTCCTGTTTACGCGTTCTCTTTCTAATCTCGACCGTACTCGCTTGTTGTCGTCCGTAGCAGGAAGATTAAAATACTTGCTCAAGGGCGCCAGTGATCACAATTTGAAACTTAGATGTGCTTTTGAACTCTTCGAACTAGCCCTGTTTCCCCGTTGGTCAGCAGCATGCATTCTATTGAACACCTCATAATCCATGCACATTTGGAATCCACAGCCAAATTGTGACAAGAATGCGCTAGACTGTTTGTAGACAATAGTAATCAAAAATAGCTACAATCCGAAACTTTTGGTGAACGGCTGCAAAGACTCTAAATCAACTCACCCCAATAACACCGAAGTCGAGAAGATATGATACTCAAATACCAAGTATCGCATTTACATAACACACTGATTTAATACTCTGTTGGCATTTCATTCTAACGACTGGTTCAGAGGACTTTCCAGAATAGTCAGTTGGCTTGCCAGCGTTAGTTTCAACGTCACAGGATTTACTAGTACAACTCTCTTCCGGCCAGCCACGAATAAAACTCGATG